GTTTTTGTTTAAAAATATCCCTTGTAGCCCCATTTTCTATTGTTTGGGACTCAAAAATTATACTTCTGACCTCCAAATTTCCTGAATTTTAAGAAAATGTTGGTCCCATTATTTGAATTTGCTTTATTTTCTCTGACTTCTATTTTTTTCTTCATCTGGTCCACTTTCCAGACCTGTGGAGATGTATTTTCTCCTCCACCCACCTTGTGGGAGGAACCCAGCTTACTTTTTTTACTTGTTGGAGGATCTCCCTGAGAAAGAAACCAATCTACTCTCTACTAGTAAAACCCTGGTTAAGAGCCTCACCTGTGACAACCTCAACCTGTAGACTCCCAATTTGGGTCTAGGTCACACTCTGGTTAAGGAGTCTCCCCTCTTTTCTTTCCCCACTGGTAGAGCAGGTGACCCTGTCTCAGGAGCTGCCCAAAATTCCTGTGCACACCCCCATGTGTATCCCCTGGTTGCTTGTAGACATAGCTCTAATGGAATTTAATATGTATTTCCTCAGTTGTCACATGTGTCTTTGGTTTAGACGCCTGTTCAAGCAACCATTCCAGTTTTGCACTGGATGGTGTCTTAGTGGGCATCCCCTCCAGAATGGGAGCCAAACTTAGTAATTTTAGACCCCCTCTCTCACACTTTCAATGTTTTAACTGTTCTGTATTATCAGAGCTACAAGGGGGAAATAATTGGAAACTATATAATATCATTATTGGAATGTGTGAGATTATATAGTATTTGCAAATCATTAAGAGGACCAAGATTGAGACAATCACTCAATTGAATTGAACGGGGGGTGGCTTAATCCTTATAATGAGTCAACTGCTAAATTTGAGTTGCTCACTGAGCTGGGATTTTCACTGTCTCTTGTTGCTAGATTTAGTCATTTGAGCTGACTTCTGCATTTGACTCCAAGTAGTGGGGAAGTCAGTCTGAGTGGCACAGGGTCTCTTGTGTGAAATTTTGCTGGGGTCAACCCTGGTACTTTGACATTATATCAGCAGGCTATAAAACTACTGTACAATATATTATATGATCTTCTAAATTGGCATTATGTACACAGTTTAACTTTATGGCCCAATGATATTTGACTAGAGATGAGATGGGCGCCAAAATTGCCCTGTCAAAATCTGTTTTAAGGCTATATCTACTGTCACAAATCATTTTGTGGCCTTCAAGTCACATCACAACTCATGCTGATTCTTTTAAATTTAGGAGCAGCTCACAATTATAACTACCACATTTTGTAGCCTGCTCTTAATTTCAGGAAACCACCCACTAGAAACATATTTCTAACTTGCTGAGCAAGGGCAGACAGATTCAACCCCATGAATAGAGAACCAACTAGAATTGACGTCATTTTGATATGTAATATTTACCCATGAGGAAATATATACCAAGAAGTGATTTAAAAAGATTTCCAAGAAGAAATAAGCCCCCAGATAACTCAAAAAAAAGGCAGAAGCCAAGGGATGGAATATCTGAGGAGCTGAGGACATACAAAGGATATCATAAGATTTAGGCTTTTCTCTGAAGGGAGGATTGTCTGAGAGAACCAAAGTTGTATAGTGATGGCCTGCAATCACATAATGCCAATGCTTTTAAGAGTTAGGAGAAACAGAAGGGCCTGAGTCAGATCTAGTGCCAATTAACACAGTAGCCCAGGTGTTACTAAGGAGAAACCATATTAACCATTTATACCCAATATGTTTCTTGTGAGGAGTCTTGGGAAATTTTATGGTCTCTAAACTTCAGAGGTTTCATGTATTAAGATTGATTGATAATAAAAGACTTTATTTATTGAAAAATAAAATTAAAGAAATTACCTGCTTAATATAGCATGGTTTAGTAAATATAAATTTTGTTTTGAGGGGGAAAAGGAAATTTTGAACATTTTGAAGCAGAAGTTATGATAATAAAACCTGTTAAGCATCCTGAAACTGTTATAAGACCTTTAATTAGCTATGACCCCTTAAAAAGTCTTTTTAACAACTGTATTCAACTCAAACAGTCTGAGAAACAATTAACAGTGAAACAATTGCTTGTTTTGAATTCCCAGGTAGGAAAGAAAGAGAACAAGAGCCAATGGAGACATTTTCAACTTTGACATTAGCTGTGAAGCTACTCCTGCTATTGATTAATCCATATCATACAAAGATACTAATTGATTTGATTGGCTATGGCCCTTAACATCAGGTAAAATAATATCTGAACTTAAAATACTAACAAATTTATTACTTAGAGCACCACCTGACAATTTAGGTGACCTGGGTTTGATCCCTATTCTGGGAGGTTTAAATTCAAGAACTTAACTGTCAGGAACCCATCCTACAGGAAATAACTTTCCAACATGATAAATTAGAGCAGAAGAATTTAAACCTGTAATCATGGAACCTAAAGGCACTAACATCATGCCCAAATGGACTAGTTCTCCAAGGATTTGATATCTACCTAAGAGCAGAATGTCACAACCCAATAAGGCATAGGCACCCAAGTAAGCAAGCAAGGAGACAGAAGCAAAAGGACAGAAAAGACTGGTAGTGCCAGATTTGGTGGACATGCACTGAGGTTCCTGCTTAGTGGGAGGGTTTGAAGAGAACAAGGAGGTGGTATAGCACTTTCCTGGTACAACTGGAGCCTGCATCCCATTATTGCAGTATGTGTTGCTGGTACCAGATCCTGGAAAAGTTTCTATTTGCATAGTGGATTGTACTGATGTACAAATCAAATATAGAATCAACCATTTGAACTTAATTCCCCAAAGAGGCAAAGGATTAGGTTGTGTTATGGATGTTCTGATTAATTATTACAGAAAATAAAGAGAATATAAGGTTTAAAGTCTTTATTGATTGAGCAACTGCAATAAGAAAGGCTCAGAAGCTTATACAGTAAAAGAATTGAGAAGTTGGGGGAAGGAAGTTGGTTTGGAAACTTAACAGCAGTTGAAACAAGTTGCACCTATAACTCAAACAATTAGAACAGTTAATAAAAAGACCCAATGTTTCAATTTACCCTTAAAGTTTGAAATTCAATATACTCTTCAGAAATGGACTGGTGTTAACTTAAGTATGTTTTAAATAACTTATAAGTATTTTATACTATAGTTCAACAGTTTACAGAGCTTTATATCTTCAAAATATGGTTGGCAACGTCAGCAGTAAGTTTTGGCACCTCTGATTGGCTTGAATTGTTATTTTCAAATTGTTTTTGCTTGTCTTCTAATATCTTAATTGTTTTTGCATCAAACTTAGGAAGCTCAGCAAGCGTGTGCCAGGTTTTGGGTTTGACTTTTGGTCTCACAAGGATTAATAACAGGTCTATAATCATAGAATTTGACTTTTTGTCTTGACTTGTTTCTTTAAAGCCAATGGGATCAACTGAGGTGCCAGAAGTAAAAGGAATTAATTCATTCACAGAAACCTTAGTAAAACCACTAGCATCAGAAGTATTAGTGTTAGAACCTTCATAAAGAATGGTTCTGACATTAACTGTATGACCTGAACTAGGTAATTTGGACATATTTATACCAACTCAAATTTCACTTTTAGGATTTAAGATGCTGGAACCTTCAAATTTAGGAGCTGTAACTCTATAAGTCTCATTGTTTTAATATAATTCAGTGATGACAGAAACACTTGTGACAGGGGTTCTGACACTTAAAGTCACAAAACAAATATGCATAAACTGTGATGTGACTAAGCAGAATCATATCTTGTTTTTTGTTGTGTCCAATCATAAGTATGCAAACTATTCCTTTTGTTTGAAATATACATTTATTCATTTATTTAATTAGTATTTTACTATAATTAGCTAAAAAACTCTGGTTCAATCAAACCTATTATAGTGAGATAAGAATGGATAGTGTAATGATGGAGTCCCTGCAAAATTTGGAAGTGTTCACAAAATGAGGAATAAAGATACCAAATACTCAAAGAATTGAGAAGTAGTAAAAACTTTAAAGTTGAAATATGAAGACAGAAATCTACAATCAAAGGAATAGAAAAGATATGCCCAAGAATTACTAGAGCAGGCAGTAAAAAATGATAGTGATAGTGATTGAATTATTGTTGCTGGATTTTGTAAGCAAAGAATCTCACAGATTGGTTCCGCAATTTCACTCAATTTCAATATCAGAAGTACCAGAGAGTAGCATCAAGGCTTTAGATACTGCAAATTGAAACTATAAACCGCAAGACCACAAAGGCATGTATGTAAGAAGGAGCTTCATATGACATTAAATAATCTACAAAACTTAAAACTGGATATGAGTTTTAAAAATATAGTATTTATTAAACTAATGAAGTAGTTCTGATAGATTTTCAGGTAATGTTGGGCTTGGTAATGATGATGATGTGACAGGGTTTAATTTTTTGAATAAAACTCCAGAAGTGACCAAAAATTGAGTTTCATCATAAACCGTTTTTGGAGCCAAAAAGCACCAAATTACCTGTTTTCACATTTTTAGTAGCTTTTTGGGCCCAATTGACATTTATGAGAAAAAAATTGAATGCTTTGCAACAACCAACTTGTTGTAAATAGCCTGATTTATATTAGTCAAATTTCTTAAGGGTTTTTTGTACTGGGAATTACAGCTTAGTATTACAAGGGTGGGCAATTCTGGTCATGATGTCACTATCTGTGACAAATAAAGCTTGTAAAAATTTGTAGTTAAAAAATCCAACATACGAAACTACTCTACTTTTACATCCTATGCCTTGCAAAAAATAAAATCTTATGTTTCATACTTGAAAACTTCTGTCACTTTATATTTGTGACCTACACAATGAAGTGAGGCACAAATTTTGCCTATTTTAAAAGTTGTGGTGCAAATCAACATAGATTATTTTATGAAATAATCTAAAAAAATCTAAAACGGTTTTTACTCTGTGATCACAATTGCTGTGATTGTCCCAGCTCTATATTTGACTAAAGCTCAATTGAAGCAATTTTAACATAATTTATAGCATAAATATTTTTATTTTCTACAAGGCGAAAAAAAAGCTCGCTTAACTCAGTTGGTTAGAGTGTGGTGCTAATAACGCCAAAGTCACAGGTTCGACCCCTGTAGTGAGCAATTTTTTTAAATACTTTTTTGTTTTACAACTAAAATAGATTTTAAACTAACTTTTTACAAAAAAAACTAGACATGTCCCAGCCCTAGTCTTAAGTATCAAGTTTTACTTTTTAAATTTTAAAAACAGGATTTTTCTTTGTCAAATAGTTAAATTTGAAAAAGAAATTGAGCTTGTTCAATAATGTTTTGGTGGTATAATATAAACCAGGATCATGTTCAAAATGTAATGAACTTTTAGAGAAATTGGTGGTTTTGAGAGAAAATAAGCTTTTCAATTTGTGCAAAAAAAGTGGGAAATCAATTGTGTTAAGTCTTTGAGAGAGATTTTCAGTAGCTTCATGAAATAATTTATACCTTATTTTCAATGAGAAATGTGGAGTTTGTTAAGTAAATTGTATGAATTTGAGTCCAAAATAATAGGTGGGTTTAGCCCAACAGATCTAGACACAATTTAGCAATAACTTTAATAAAAAATTTACTTCATTATAAAGTTAGAATTAACGACTTTGAATGTAAATAGCCTAAGTAAAAACTAGAAAGAAAAAATATATAGCAAAACAACTAAACACTAAAAGCTTAAATAAACACTACAATAGTTTTTAAAGCTATGGCACTGTAAAAAACCAAGATTTAACCAAAATTACTCATCTGTAAGCAAAATAAATCAGATTTAAACCGGTAGGGCATTCTATTTCAAAAACTGCATCTCAAAAAACGCCATCTCAAAATATGCCATCTCAATTTTCAGCTATTTTGATTTTATAGTAAAAACGCCATTTTGATTTACAGCATTTTGACTAAGGAAAAACAGTTTTAAAATTTTAGGTTTTTTGAACTCCAAAAATAACCCAAAAAATTCTCAAAAAATAAAATTTAAAAAACATTTCTAGCCTTTAAAAAGCCTCAGAATTCCAAATCTTCAATAAAAAATGAGGTTGATCAGTAGCAACATAGTTGGGTAAAGCCCAAAAAGTTAAAATAATCCCCAAAACAACTATTTTCATCTATTTTAACTACAAACTATACTTTAAAATATGCATAGAATTGTACCAAATACCAAAGAAAGTCAAATAATGGTTAAATCAAAGGAAATAAGAGAGAATATAAAGAATAGTTTATTGCAAATAGGCTTAAACATTAGTGGAAAAAGCAACTGAGATGGCTTGAAGATGCTCAAGCTTGCTATCCTTGGGATAGTAGGCAAGGACTACCTTGCTAATCTCTTTATACTTTTTCACTGCTTTGGTCTGCTGGGGGGGGGTCGCCTTTGGTCTTCATACCAGTCTTAAAGAGGCAGGCAGAGATGGCCTGCTGGTTTTTTAAATGGACCATGATCTTATTGAATTTGGGCTTATGAACCCTAACCCTTGTAGCAAACTGGCTATGCCACCCTTCAAGGGAAGAGGTGGTCTTGATGAGGCCGTCTTTGACCTACTTGAAACAGTTCCAGGTGATTGAATCACCGCCTTTTCTAATGTGGCGTGCTCCCTGAAACACTCCGACTCATTGAGTTTCAAAATACTCAATAAACAGAGCAAAGGCTGCCTGGTTGGCAATAATGTAAGGATGGCAGAGGAGGACATCATAAAAGGCATTGGTCTCCTTCTTTTGTACAAGGGCAAGGGCAGCAAAGCAATCAAAAACGTCATTTGCTTCTTTGGTGCCTTCAGTGTAGACCAGCTCATGAAGTTCAGAGCACTTTTGGAGGCGGCGGCAGAGTGCCTGCTGGAAGTGGAAGTAGCATCCATGAGGGGAGCTCTTGAAGACTTGAATAAAGGCATTTGCCTGAGCCTGTTCAAAATCCACTACCAGATATTCATGGTAGGGAAGGCTTTCTGGCTTTTTCTTGATTGGGGTTGGAGTGTCTTCTTCTTGGGAGATGGATTTCTTCTTGCGGCCTCTAGTCTCCTTTGGCTCCTCTTCAATAGTTGGGAGGCTTTCATCAAGTTTGGTCTTTAAAATTATGAGTGCCCGGACATATGTTTCCTGCTCCTTGTTGGGAAGGAAAAAGAAGACAAGGGGAAGAACTAGATTACCAACCTGCCCATGGATAATCCAAAGCTGGCTGAAGAGCTTTGGGCAGGTTGAGAATGTTCCATCTGCAAGCCAAGTCTTGCATTTTAAAAAGTTGCACAGATCCTGGCTTGTGGCAAAGCAGATGATACGCTCTGGGGCATGTTGACCATCATCATGAAGAAGGAATCTCTCCTCATGGCGAGATAGTTTTTACTCCTCAGTAATGATCACTTGGTCAATGGAGCTTGCACTGACGCCTTCAGTGCTCAGAGCATATCTCTGATCAGTGAGATATCTCTGTAATTTTGAGGCGCCACCAACAGTTTCTAGTTGGGTATCATTTAGATTAAGGAGCGCATCATTGACAACCTCAGTTGCAGTTTGATCCTTTGTGGTTGGGATCACCTGGTGAAGAAACCAGCAGATCAGTTAATAGAGAGGGTCAAAAGGCTCAGCACAGTCATGCCCAATAGTCAGGGCTTTAAACCAAGTGAACCCATAGGTGGTGAGTCTAGCTGGACAGCCAACATTATCACATTTGAAGTGATGTTGATGGATGGGTTTCTTCTCTTTGTTGCAACTGAAGCTGTAGCCCTTGTAGACAAAGCCGGCACCCCCTTTCTTAGTCATAATTGGATAGCTGATAGGGTACATTGTTGGCACAGAAAAGGTGCCATTTTGGTTGCATACTTTGTGGATTGATTTAAGATCCAAGAGCTCAATTGGCTCATCTGCAGGAGCACCAGGCTTAGGCTCCTCTTCATCCTCAGGCTCTGAAGTGGGGCCAGAATGGCAATTAAAGTTGAATAACTTCTTTTGAGGATCAGAGGGGGAGTAAACAAAAGGAGAGTGGGGAGGGGTTGGGCTTGTTTCCTCAGGCTCTGGTGAGGGAGTAGGGGTCTTGGTGGGAGCTTTATCCTTAGAAGGCTGTTTTTAGGGGTAGTTTTGGCCTTCTTGGCCATGGGAGGAGTGATCTTGGACTTTGAAGCCTTGGAGGCCTTGGGCACAGCTTTAGTGGTAGGCTTGGGAGGCATCTAAAAGTGAATTAGCATCAAAATATGGGAATTTTGAGGGTTGTTTTTAAAGAGAAAAATGAGAATGTTTTTAATATAAAAGTGGTAATATTTTTTACATAGAATTGTAGAGGAGATCAAAAAATACATACTATCAAAATTTCAATGTTTTTTATCTTGTAAATATATTTTTTATTAGTAACACAAGTATGCTTAACTTTGAGTTTTGACTGAAAACTTGCAGTCAAAAAGGTGTTTTTGAAGTGACGTAATTGAGGTGCTGTAGCTCAAAAACATAGTGTTTTTGAGCATTTTTTATATTAAATTAACAAATTTACGGTGGAGCTACCTCAACCGGGCCAAATAGTAAAACTTGAATTTCTCAAAAACTAGCTTATACAACTGGGGTTAAAAAATACCCAGTTGTTTAGAGAAGGCAAAAATATAAATTTGCAAAGTTTCAGTGAATTTCTTACATTTTTTAATACTATGATTTTTAACGTGAAAATGTACTTTTCAAAAGTGAAAAGCAAGAATTGCAACTGGGAAATCAATATAGCGTAGCATGGCATCATATATAATTCCCCCTTATTTTTCCCTATCCATTGTGCACATTTCAATTGGGTGATATGAAACCCAGTGGAATTTGAAGTGACATAAATCAAAATGGCGTAATCACTTTCTTTTATATTGAAATCACTATTAAAATATTTTATTAAGAGAAGTCCTACCAATGCATCCATTTACAGATAAGTTATAAAGTACATATAAAAAAACCATTTTTTACCCAGCAATGACAATCACAAGTAGAACTACCATTGTAGTGCTCAAGGATTCTAAGGGTAAGGTTGGAGTAGCTGAGCAGCAACTGGGGGAACACAGCAGGACTATTATCTCCTTAAACAATAGAACTTCTCTATTTGAGCTCTGCAAGTAATCTAAGAATGTTAAGTTGGTTGTTATGTTCTATTCAATGATGTCTTTATTGGGGCTATCTGAGGGCCTTATATAGTTGGAAATGGGGGAGGGAAAAGAAAGGGTAAGGCATCCTGACTGAAGTCAGGTGGTTACAGCAAAAGTAGGGCCATTTTTGGGAACTAGGTCTAGAATTTGGTTTCAGAATGTTCATCTGGGGGGTCATACTTGTTGGTAAGAAGCAGAAGGTCTATATACCAAATTAAAAACTGGGGAAACTGATGAGCTACTAATTGCTATATGTATAGGCTCCTCCAATGAGTCATCAATCTACGCATCTGCAGCTAGCCGCAGATGCATTAGAGAGTGACTTATTGGAGGAGCCTATATATATGGTGATTAGTGACTAATCTATGCATCTGCAGCTAGCCGCAGATACATAGATTGGTCACTAATTGCCTCAATGAAAGTCACCACAATGGGTCACTCTCTGATGCATCTGTGGCTAGCTGCAGGTATGTCAATTAGTGGCTAATCAGAAATTGATCTTTATGTTTTGATGGGTAACTATCCAATCAAAACACAATAAAGGACAGCAGTTCCCCTATACTTTTCTTTATAGGGTAGTAGTCTCAATATGGTAATATCTTCAGGCAACGCCCTGCACCACAACCATAGTGGCATTATTTTAAGTTGCTCTTAGTATAAGTGTCTTGGATTAATACTATAGGAGCATCTTCTGATTTTATACAACAGGCTTTGATTTAGTGTTAGAATAAGCTTATTTTAGTTTTAGATAAATTGCGTAAATCAAGATGTTGTAAAATCAAGATGGCGTGAACACACTCTACACTAAGTGATTTCATATGCAAATAAAGTTAGCAAAATAAGATTTAATTAATTTGACTCAAAATGACAAAATTGAGATGGTGTACTTTTGAGATGCCGCATTACAAAGATTTATGTAAATTTTAACTATTTTATTGTTTATTTTTTTTGTGATTCAAAATCACTAATGCAAAAAACGCCATCTTGAATTTAATTCAAGATGGCGTA